TGGCCTGGGAAAGCAGTGGAGAACGTCCAAAGCCTTGGGACCCCGCACCCACATGGAAGAACCAGAAGAAGCTGCTGGCACCTGGCTTCAGAAGGGCTCGGTTCTGGTCTTTGCAATCTTTTGTAGAATGAACCAGCAAATTGAAGATCATTCTCTCTGTATCTCCTTCTCTCCATCAATCTGACTTTCCAATAAAAATTCTTTTTAAAATTAAATTAAGGGCCCGGCGCGATGGTGCAGTGGTTAAGATCCTCGCCTTGCACGCCCAGGATCCCATATGGGCGCCGGTTCTGATCCCGGCGGCCCCACTTCCCATCCAGCTCCCTGCCTGTGGCCCGGGAAGGCAGTCGAGGACTGAGGACAGCCGAAAGCCTTGGGATCCTGCACCCGCATGGGAGACCTGGAAGAGGCTCCTGGCTTCGGATTGCATAGCATCGGCTGTTGTGCTCACTTGGGGAGTGAATCATTGGACGGAAGATCTTCTTCCTCTCTGTCTCTCCTCTCTGTATATCTGCCTTTCCAATAAAAATAAAATAAATCTTAAAAAAAATTAAACCAATATTCTTTTAAAAAATCAAGACTTGTTACTAATGATAGCTAAGATAAGAAGCACTCAGTCTCGTCACACGTTGTTCTGAAAGCTTTGCAGCTTTTAACTAATTTAACCTTCATGATTCTAGGACGTAGGTACAACCATCCTATTTACAGATGGAGAAACTGAAAACCCCAACAAATGACGTGCCAAGGTTGTAGAGCCGGATGAGGTTGTAGAGCTGGATGAGCTAGTCAGGATGTAGCTGGACTCCAGGCTTCGCGCATATCCCCAACAAATTCCTCAGACGTGTAGTCCCCCACCCCGAGAGCCTTTGCCAACCCTCTATGAAGTACCACCAGCCTGGCACTAAGCCAAGGGAAGCTGCCCTAAGTACTCCTTTCCCTTTAGTCTTCCACATACTGGATGGACCTAGATTAGTATTAGACTATATTACATATAGTTCATAATAAAGACATATCAGAAACCTAATGAGGAATCAAATTCAATGTGCACAATACATGGATTCAAATAGTTAGAACTATTCTGAGATATACCTTCAAAATATTTAACCATATTCTATATCCCAAGCATAATTTCTCAGAATTGTTTGAGTTCCTTTGTTCCTATGACACTGTCAACTCAAAGGATCATTTTTACATATCCTTGTAATCCCAAATCTAAGCCGAGAACATGAAAATACAAAGTATTAAAAATGTTTAATATATGCCATCTGATTATGTCAATTTAATCTCCACTGCCAGACTAGCTTCAGTGAAGGCAGCAATGCCTTTTCTTTAAAGATTCATTTTATTTTTATTGTAAAGTCAGATCTACATAGAGGAGAGACTGAGACGAAGATCTTCCGTCCTATGGTTCACTCCCGAAGTGGCTATAACAGCCTGTGCTGCAATAATTCAAAGCCAGGAGCCAGGAGCCCCCTCCAGGTCTCCCACACAGGTGCAGGGAACACCAAGGATCCCATATGGGCACCAGTTCTAATCCCAGCAGCCCCACTTCCCATCCAGCTCCCTGCTCGTGGCCTGGGAAAGCAGTCGAGGATGGCCCAAAGCCTTAGGACCCTGAACCCACAGGGTAAGTGCAAGGAATGGGCTTTTGCAAATTATATGTAGGAAAGGGGAATTCCTCCACAGGCTCTCCCCTTCCCTGTTGTCAAAGCACACAGCAGCTCAAAACACAACCCAATAGTGAATTTCATGAAAACTCATTCTGCTTCCCCAGAGGATAACACTTGTGTATAACATAAAACCTGGAGTTACACTGACCTTACAGACCACGAGGCACCCCTATTCATCCAGGATGCTGCCACAGGTAAAACGAGTAGAATCTCAAGTCAGGGTAGAACTCACTGCTCACGACAGCCACAGCTGACTGAAAGACACTCTAAAGTGATCTCACCTCAGCTCTTAAGGATGGCTGACGAACACTTCAGCCTGCAGCCTTAAAAATCTGTGACTAGATAATAACACCATATTTACAGAAATAAAACACGAACAGAATAAGCTGCAATGATCCATTCTGTTATTAACTGGCTAAAATACTATCTAACCTTATACCAAAGCACACGGGTCCTCAACATATTCTCTAAATTTTCAACTATAATATGCAAATTATGGATAAATTAAGACTAATACAAAGTGACCTAATATTGTAATATGCATGACTTAAAGCAACTTGTACTCTAAAACTGATTCAAAGGTTAACAATAAAACACAAATAGGATACTAACCATTACAAAATCCTTTGCTTCTTTAACAAGAAAACCTAAGATGGACCAGCATTGCTGGTAAGGGGTTAGCTGACACAGTGGCAAACAGTGCTTGAGATTCGGATGCCTGGGTTCAAGTCCTGGCTCTGGTTGCCTACAAATGCATGCCCTGGCAGGCAATAGGGAAGGCCACGGGCGCTTTCCCTGTCACACAGCTGAGAGGCAGATCAAATTTCCAGCCCTACCCTCCTGCTTTAGGACATTTGGAGAGTGAGCCAACAGGTAGAAGATATGTGTCTCTGCTCTTCAAACAATTTTGAAAAAGAGAAATTTTGGCTTCGGGCCCGGCACGATAGCGTAGTGGTTTAAGTCCTTGCCTTGAACGCACAGGGTTCCCATATGGGTGCCAGTTCTAATCCCAGCGGCCCTGCTTCCTATCCAGCTCCCTGCCGATGGCCTGGGAATGCAGTCAAGGATGGCCCAAAGCTTTGGGATCCTGAACCCATGTGGGAGATCCAGAAGAGGCTCCTGGCTTCGGATTGGCTCAGCTCCAGCCATTGCAGCCATTTGGGAAGTGAATCATCAGACGGAAGATCTTCCCCTCTGTCTCTCCTCTCCACCTTTCCAATAAAAATAAATAGATCTTAAAAAAACAAATCTTGGCTTCAAAGAATTCATAATCAACCAAGGAACACTACTGCAGTCTCAACTCTTCTCAAGTAAAATATCAATATCCAACAGGAAAGTATCGAGATGAGACAATGACAAAACTACAGGGCACTGTGGAGGGAAGCCTGTGCGCCAACCTACCTTTCTAGCCCGCCCTCTGGAAGACAGCATCAAGTGTATGACTGCCAATTACCATTAGCTAGCACTGATGGCATTTTCAGATTAAGCACTTTAAACTTCCCAAGGTTAAATTACTTACCCAAGGTCACACCAATAAGGAAGGCGACAGACAAGACTCAAGCTCAGTTGCCTTCCCTTCAAAATGAACACTCACAGTGCTGTTCACTAACAAAAAAAATTTTTTTTAAATTAAAAAAAAAATTCTTGGCCATTAGAATTGACTTTTCAAATCAAGTATAACCATGAAACTGACCTTCTGCACTCAAGATAAAGTAGATAAAAGTCTGGCAAGTTCTTTTTTCCTTCTGGGTAACTCAATGAAGCTAGAAGAAACAACCAAAGCATAAGACCTCAAACTAAGAAACAAGCTTTTCACCAGTCATCTAACCTATCAACAAATTAGGGTATTAGATTAATCCAAAAGAACTACATTTTTCAAAATCCAGAACTTTCAGCCAAATTAGGTCTACATAACATCAAGAAACAAGTTCAAGATCAGTACCAGACTTGCTTATTCATCCAATACCAAGCACCATTATGAACAGCACCACACCAGCAGGCAGAAAACGTAAAGCTTAGACCCCAAGAGCTGGGACCAGTGCTGCAGCACTGGCATCCCACACAGGTGCCTACTGGGGTCCTGGCAGCTCCACTTCCAATTCCGTGTGTGGGGAAGCAGTGGAGGATGGCCCAAGGTCTCGGGTTCATACAGCACACAGGGGAATTCCTGATCCCACATTCAGACTGACACAGCTTGGCTGCACTCTTCATGTGGGAAGTGATCCAGCAGAAAAAAGATCTCTGTCTCTCCTTCCCTAATTCTTTCAAGTAAAACAATAAAATCTAAAAAAACAAACAAAAGACCATCCTGGGCCAGGCGTGATGGTTCAGTTGGCTAATCCTCCCCAATGAAAGCACCAGGATCATGTCCCAGCTGCTCCACTTCCCATCCAGCTCCCTGCTTGTAGCCTGGGAAAGCAGCAGAGCACGGCCCAAAGCCTTGGGACCCTGCACCGGCATGGGAGGCCAGGAAGGAGCTCCAGGCTCCTGGCTTCGGAGCCTCAGGCCGTTGCAGCTATTTGGGGAGTGAACCAGTAGGCAGATCTTTCTTTCTCTGTAAATCTGCCTTTCCAACAAAAACAATCTTAAAAAAAAAAATCAAAACACAAAACAAACACACAAGCACTACAATTATCCAACAATCTACAAAAAGCACCTGTGATATAAACACTGCCCATTGCTATTCCATCTTTTGAGGCCTAACTGCAGCCTGACCTACAGAAAAGCAGCACCAGCTTACCAGATAAGCAAGTGTGGGAGTGACCATTCACATCTCACCAGCAGCTGGGGGAGAGGCCAGAGGCCAGAGGCAGTGAGCCCACAACAGGAGACTTCGTCAACCATCTTGCAGATCCAAAAACCCTTCCAAGCAGAAGACAGGTTCCATATGAGCAAGCCCAGGCTGTCAATACTGATTTGGGTCAGGAAGGAAAATGGAGACTTTTCCACCAGTTTTACAAGGCACCTTTGTACATACTACAACAATGAGGTAATTCCTGCCCTCAGGAAGCCTATTATCCAGTTGGGAAACAGAAGCAATCGACGTCAACAAATGCAGAAATGAGGCGGAGCCCTAACCAAGAAGAGCAAGGAAAAGAGGACAGGCCAGAGGCTGCAGAAGTGACCTGAGGGGCAGGCTGAAGTCCTTGGCATCTTCTGACTGCTATGTTACTTTGTGCACAGGGAGAATCTGCTGCATTTCAACGAGGGAAGAAGTACAGATCAGGGTGGCCACAGCAAAGAGAGCAGCATGAAGGCAAAGAAAGCACTGCACCAGCTGCTGAGCTGAGACCAAACTGCCTCAGTAATGCGGAGAAAAGAAAGGGGTACCTGGTTCCACACTTCCTCGGAAGATCCCCGCTCACACACTAAAAAGGGGAAGAAAAAAAGAACTACTTAGACTGCTAAAACTAAAACAGAGATCAAGATTCAAAACCATTCTTCCTTTGTCATAACACTGGAAATTCAATTTCATTATTGTCACAAACCAAAATCTGTCAATTATGAAAATATGAAGCAGTTTAAGTTTCTCAAAACAAAACTAAAAAGTTTACTCAATATGAAATATAAAGAAAAAGTATCTGGCATGCTGATGCAAAAAAAGAACAGATAAAAACAGAGACCACTTCCCATTATCAAAACAGCAGCGATTTTAGAGAATGCTGTCACTCGGATCTTCAATCAGCCTACCTTACACAGCTGACCGCCACCACTCCTAACAAGCTGCTTTCTCTAATGTCTAGAAATAACTAATACATCTTCCTAAAACTAACACTAACATCTCATACCAGCATATTTACATTAGTTTTATTTTTAAAGATCTATATATTTTTATTAGAAAGCCAGAGTTACAACGAGAAGGAAAGACAGAGAGATCTTCCATCCGCTGGTTCACTCCCAAAATGGCCACCAATCCTGGAAATGAGCCAACCCAAAGCCAGGAGCCAGGAGTTTCTTCCAAGTCTAAGCAGGTGCAGGGCCACCCTCAGCTGCTTTCCCAGGCCACAAGCAGGGAGCTGGATCAGAAAAGGAGCAGCCAGGACCGGAAGTCTACAGGGGATTTCAGCATTTGCAGGTGGAGGATTAGCTAACTGAGGCACTGCTTTAGCCCAGTACTTATAATGTGATTTCACAGTCAATGTAATGTGTGGGCCTTAAAACTACAAGCAGGGTAAAAAAGCCTTCTTCACGCATCCCCACTTCACTGGTAAGAGACCAAAAAGGTTACCTGACTATCTCAAGGTCACGGTGCGGGTTTCCAGGCCAGAGGACTCTTCCCCCGGATGTCCTGAAAACTGGATCGTAAAATCCTGTCTGGATAACACAAACAAGCTCATCCTAAAGGGTCAGAACGGAAAAGCAAACATGGCCCTACACTTGCCTCGCTGAGTGAAAATACTGTTTGTTGTTAACCCTAGCATCCATTCTTAAAACTCTGGTACCTTCTGGAACCCTTAAGGGTCAAGAATGTCCTTCAACGTTTTAGAAGATGAAAAAAGACAAAAGGGCTGATCACAGACACAAATTCAACAGTAACCGTCGCTGAGCTGGCTTAATGGCCACTGAGCTGGTCAAACACTAGGGAGAGAAGGGAACAGGGCTCATCTTGATTACAGTCCCTCAACTCTTACAGACAGGGCACTCGCTAGGAAGGCAGCCCTGCACAAAGCCCACGAAGCCCACGAGCCTCGGGCATGCCAGTGTGCCCCCAAGATCAAACAAAATAAAAGCCGCCCCAGCTCCCATGTCAAAAGGATGACAGAAAGCCACACTTGAGTATTTCTGGGGCTGAACATGGAGCAGGCAATGTCAAAACAAAGAATCAGAAACCCTGTTTACTTCAACACTTACTATTGATCTGCCATAAATAGAAAAAAAGCCTCAATAAACCCTCCACAATTTGCTGTCCCTAAATATTGGATAATTCCACTCCTCAACTCAAGCTGCCTCCCCACCCCCTCCAACAAATCCCAGGGTGTAAATGCCACACACACTCCCCACAGGCCTTCTGCCGTCTTCCTAACACAACCAGGACCTTTGTTCACAGCGTCGGTTTTGTACTGGACTCAGCAGCTCTTTCAACTTTCCATCCCGTATTTCTGATTTGTTTTTTTTAAAAAGAGATTTGAGTCTCAATTTGCCAGGTTTAAAAAAAAAGAAATGCCAAAAATACCTAATAAGGCTCTGGAGAAAGGAAAAGTTAAAGCCACCACTAAGGGGCCTACAAGTCGGAGCAAGCCGGGGACCTGGTGACCTGGCAGGCTCGGGAGGGAGGCCGGCAGTTGGCCGTCCACTCGGAGGCCCCGCGCCGCCCGAGAGAGAGAGAGAGAGAGAGAGAGAGAGAGAGAGAGAGAGAGAGAGAGAGAGAGAGAGACAGACAGACACAGACACACACACACCCCTCCCTCCCCCCCACCCCCAGGCTCCCGTCCTCCCTCAGGCCCGCGCCCGGGGTGGGTGACACGTCCAACTTCTCCCCCGCGACCTGCAAGCGCTCTCAGATTTCTACGAAACTGCCGTCTCTCTCTCGCACCCCAAGATCTGGCTGATTCAGGGGAAATGAGGGGTGGGGATGGTACAGCCCTGGGGTCTGAACGCCCCCTTCTAACACGGGTTTCCAGGCTGGAACCCACTCACACGGCGGAGGAGGAAGAACTGACGGACAGACTTCCTAAGATTTTTTATGTAATCCACACAGCAATAAATTAATCGCCGGGCTCGCTTTGACGGCTAATACGTCCGGGGTGGCGAACCCCCACCCCGCCATCCCCCACCAAGCCCGGGCCCCCCGGCCAAGTTTCCGCGCCTCCTCCAGGGCCGGCCGCCCGTCCCTCTCACCCTCCCTCAGCCTCAACTTCTCCCGGCTAGCGCCCTCCCCACCCCCAGCGGCAGACAACAACACACACACCTGCCCGTGCCGAGCCCCGGGCCCTCCAGCGGCCCCCTCGCCCGGGACCCCTCGCCGTGGCCTCGTCACTCCGGCCTCGCTCCCCACCACTGCGCTCGCTCGGGCTGCTCCCCACGTCCCATTTCCGGACTGCTCCGGGTCCCGGAGCCTACTCTCTCCCGGTTTCCGGGCCCCCTGTCCCATTTCCGGGGAACCCTAGCCGTCTCCACGCCACCACCCCCCACCTGCACTTCCGGCCCCCCACTTTCCATCTTCCTTGACGCCCTCCAGGCTCCGCAGCCCACTTCCGGCCCCCCCACAACCCCCGCCGGGCGCCCCGAGACCCGCTCGCCTTACCCCCCAGCGGCGTGAGGGGCCCTCCTCAGGAGCCGGGGAGCGGAGCAGGGACCCCGCGACGCCCCGCGGCCCGGCCCCGCTCCCCGCCCGGCCGCGAGGGCCCCGAGCGCTCCGTCCGTCCGCCCCCGGCCCGGGCCTTCCGCGGCCGCCGCCGCCGCCGCCGGGAGCAGGCCGAGCCGGGGCCGAGTGGCCTCGGTGACACCCCCGGGCTTCCCGGGACTTCCTGCGCCAGCTCTGCCTTCGCCCTCCCTCCACCTCCCCCGCTGCCGACCCCGGCCCGGGCCCCGGTTACCTAGTGAGGCCCCAAAGTCTCCGGTGCGGACTCGGCGGCGGCGGCGGCGGCTGCTCGGCCCCTCAATAATCAGCTGCGCCGCAGCACCGCGCCCGCCGTGCGCCTCCGCCCGCCCGGCCCAGCGCGCTCCGGGGACTACTTTGCCCTGGGCTCCGGCCGCCGAGCTCGTCCGCGGGGCCGGCCCCTCCCTCCCCCACCGCCCGCCTCGACGCTCCCAGCGGCCTCCGCTGCTCCTCCCGAGCCCTTCGAGGGACCAGGAAGGGAAACGGCGGCGCTGCGCTCGGTATCCCTCCGCCGGGGTCAACCCTCCCCTCCGTGGCAGCAGGAACTAATTCCCCTACGGGTCACCCGGGGACCTAGACGTGGGAGTCTTCTTGGAACGAGCTTTCTTGGGACCCCCCCCCGCCCCATAACACACACACACCCCCAACCTGGAGAGAAGAGACGATCGCCTCGAGTTGTAAAACACCCGTGGCTGACTGAAAAGCGGGGTTGGAGGGCTTGGAGCCCCGTGACCCCGGCCAAGCCCCGCCCCTTCCTGGTTGTCTTGGCGACGGCGGTGGCGTCCTAAGATGGCGTCGTGGCTGCCAGAGACTCTGTTCGAGATTGTCGGACAAGGCCCGGCGCCGAGCAAAGACTATTACCAGTTGTTGGTCACCCGTTCTCAGGCAAGTGCGAGCGGCGGGCTCCCCCCGGCTCCTGACTCCCGACGCGGCCGCCGGTCGGGAGGCCCTCCTTCGTCCCCCGCTGGCCTCCTCCACGGAGGCCCGGCCGGGGCCCTCAGGGCTGTGTCTCGGCTGCGGTGCGCCGCCTCACCTCTGTGCGGGGAGGAGGGAGGGAAAGCCGCGGCCCGAGCGTCCCGAGGAGGAGCCGGCCCTGCTCCACAGGCCCTCTGGGGACGGGGAATGGTGCCCGCGTCTCGGGGCGGCGCGCCCCGCGGGCCCACGAGCGCCCCCTCCCCACCGCGGGGTGCCTACCTGGCCGAGCCCCGCCGTCCCCGTGGAACGTGTCCGCGGGCGGGTTAGCGCCGAACCGCCTGGGCCCCACCCACCGGGACCTCGGCCCCACGACGACGCGCCCGAGTGGAGTGGCCGCGGCCCGGCTCCTCTGTGGGGCGGAGGGGCCCGCGTCCACCCGGGCGCCCACGCCGCCCGCCCCTCGCCGCGGGGAACTTGGCACGTGCTTGTTGGGGTGCGCAGGCTTGCGCTTGGATGTATTCCTCATCAGGATCCCCAGGACCCGTTAAGCCAAGGAGCGAGTGGATTCATTTCTGTCGGGTATTTAGAAGCGCCTTTCAAAGAAAAAATATGACATGTAGAATTTCGGTTTTTTTTTTCTAACTTAAGATTTTAAAGTATTACAGTGGTTGTATCCGTTGGTCAGACGTTTGACGACAGTCATTTTTGGAGATTTTTTTTCTCTTTTACACATTTAGCGATTTCTTCTTGTGGGCAATTTACTCCTTTGGGGCACTTGTGTGTGTGTGTGTAAGGATTTTGGACTTTGCCGTTTGGCTTTATGATCTATGGCCTTGGTAGTGTTTTTACCAACTTGAGTCAGACACGGGAAAACATCGGAAAGTAGCGAGTGTGAACCCTCCAGCCTGTGCGGCCTCCGCTCCTCCACCATCTTTCCACTCCAGCTTTCTGGTTTCTCCTTCCCTCCTGGGCTTTGCGCTCTAAGGCTTGGCGGGTTGAGTTTGTTTCCCCCTTGTGTTTTAGAGTATTAGCTGCACTTCCCTGGAAAGTTGCCCTGGTTCCTTCAGACCCGACACCCTTCTACAACCGCCCTGGTTCCTGAGCGCCCATCTCCTCTGCGAGTCTTAAAAACTCCACTATTCCAGCTCAGGTTCTGTCGTTTATTTACATACAGAATCCTTTCTTCAAGAACTGTTCCATTTTTTATTTTCTTTTTTAGCACACTGAATAAATCCACTGCAGTTCTACCCAGAGAAATTTAATCCTAAATCTGGCTAATTCACCCTCTTAAAAGTAGAATTTGTTGTTTAAAAAAAAAAAAACAGCAAGCCAAAGGGGGCTTTGTGTGGGGGGCGGGACTTCTCCAAGTCAGCTGTCTGGAGAATATGCTATTTTCTAACCACAAGGTAGTTTTTTCTGAGTTTCAGCACAGGAAGCCAAACATCTAGTAAGAGGTGCCCTGACATAAATAAATAGCAAAAGACTAGAATTAAACTGTGTTTTATAGGATGGGCTTTTTTTGTGGGTGACTTTCTAAAACAGGCTCTGTGCGTCTCTTCCTCCCTTCTGCCTTTATTCTAAAATGTGCTGAATCAAAGCACCCTGCGTGTAGAAGGCTCCTTCTTTCATGCTGACTCCCTGCCTGGATTTTTTTTAAATGCTTCATTTTTGTTGCTGTTGACTTTAACTCCACATTTATCATGTAACTAAATCACTTATTTGTGTTACTGTGCTCATACAGCCGCCAGTGGAATATTCCAGAATATGTATGTGTGTATATATATATATATATTTTTTTTCTCTTTTTAGATTTATCTCATGTATTTGAAAGACCAGGTTACAGAGGGAAAGAGAGAGCTGCCATGTCCTCGTTCGCTCCTCACGTGGTGGCAGCAGCTGGGACTAGACCGGGCTGAAACCAAGAGTCCTGGTCGCCCACAGGAGTGCAGGGGCCCGAGGACTTGGACTGTCTTCCGCTGCCTTCCCCAGCGTATTAGCAGGGAGATGGATTGGAACCGGAACAGCCAGGATTCGAACCAGTGCCCATATGACATGCTGGTACTACTTGGCTGTCGCTTAACTCGTTATGTTACAACACAGGCCCCTAGCATGTGAATGTTATTCATAACTATTTTCTTTGCCTTCTTACACAGTAATATTAAAAATGTGTTTATGCTTATAGAGGCATGAAATAACAGCATGTTGATTTTGTTTTTCAAAAGAGTGATTTTACAAAACAGCTTTAGGTCCACATATTCTCAAATCCAATCTTTTAAAAGCCATGCATTGCTTTCTAAAGTTTTCCAAGAGTGTGTGTACACTTTCTGATTTTGCATTCCTGAATTTCGTAGTACATTAGGGCTGGAAAGAAACTTGAATGTTATTCAGGCCAGGAATATTTTCACATGTGGCTTCTGAGAAAGTCCCAAACTGCATTCCTGAATGAGCATCCTTTTCCTGATTTTAATCGGTAACTTGGCATTTAGTATAGACACGGTATATAGGATTTCAGGGAATTTGTCCTTCTCTCAGCACACATGTACCGTGCGTCTCTCTGTGCCCAACACTGCCCTGCGCGGACCAAATGAGAGCGTCAGGCAGCACGGACAACCCAGGCAGGGTTTGATGTGGCTTGACTTGGTGGTGGTGGTTGTTTTCAACTCCAGAGCATGTTCCTGAGACACTGCCAAGTTCATGATCATATAGACATTTTAAAATCTGCATCTCTGGGCCAGGCACAGTAACCTAGCGGCTAAAGTCCTCACCTTAAAGGCACCAGGATCACATATGGGCACTAGTTCATATCCCGTCATCCCCACTTCCCATCCAGCCCCCTGCTTGTGGCCTGGGAAAGCAGTCCGAAAAGGACGACCCAAAGCCTTGGGACCCTGCACCCATGCGGGAGACCTGGAGGAAATTCCTGGCTCCTGGCTTCAGATAGGCTCAGCTTCAGCGGTTGCAGCCACTTGGGGAGTGAATCAGCGGAGGGAAGATCTTTCTCTCTCTCCTCCTCTCTGTTTTTCTGACTTTCCAATAAAAATAAGAAATGAATCTTTAAAAAAAAAAGATTTAAAATCATCGTCTGGCAGAAAGTCAGTATAGATGAGGTAACCCAGGAGGGGGGTGTTAGCAGGCTTTTCACTGTCCTTTCTCTGGCCTGTCACAGCAGAAGCCCTGTAGAAGGTGACAAGCCCTGCTGGCTTGGCGTGGCGTCAGGCTTCATGTGACAAATCTTAGTGTGCACAGGGCAGCCCTGTGCAAGTCCTCACACACAGCAATGGTCCCACAGCGGAGGCAAGAAGGACGACCCGACAACGGGTTAGTCTCAGTCAGCTGTGTTACCAAGTCCTGCACAAAAGTCCCAAAAAATAGCTGCTATCACTTGGGGGGAGGGAGTCCGAGCTCCCTTCTCGGCAGGTACTGTGAATCGCCTTAGGCTTGTCCGTGACCAGGAGACCTGCAGTCACCTGAGGTCTCGGCCTACCACGTGCCAGCAGACTGTCTTCCAAGGGCTGTGACAAAGGAAAAAGCACCTAGCCTGTTTGAGAGACTCCCCAAGAGTGTGCTAACGCCCTTTTAAACTCTGACCACTTTTAAAGATTTAAAATTTAAATGCAGTCTTATAGAAATGTTAATGCATGCACCGTTTGACCCAACAAATCCATCTCAAAAAATGTTTTCAAATGCACGCAGGGATATGTGAGCAAGAAGACTAACCAAAATAAAATAATCATAAATACGTCCTTCCATTAGTGGTGAGCGGTGACTCATTCAGACATGCTAGTACAACACCATGGGACTCTTAAAAAAGAAAAACCCAGTGAGGTGGATTTCTGTTTATTTGGTAGACCAAGGTAAATCTCTAGCAAGAAAAAGCAAGTTGCTGGGTTAAACATAGTGTGGTCCTTTATTTATTTATTTAAAAGTTTTAAATAAATGTCAGTAAACCTTTAAATAAATGTTAGGGGAGAAAGCTGCTGTGCTTTGCTGTTAGGAATCCAGGCGTGATTTCCTTCGCTTTGTGGGTTCGTGTTGCTAAAGGATTTAAAGTGTGTACAGTGAGGCTTTATTTTATAAGAGAAAAGCAGCAGAGATTTCGAATGAAAGCGTGGTGGGGACCTTGCCCTGTCCTGCACCTCTGTCCTGCACCTCTGGCTGCCCCATGGGCCAGCATTCACAGTGGCTCAGTCACCAGAGCTGTGCTGCTTCCCTGGGGTGGGGAGGCAGTGGAGTGGGGAGGAGTCCGATTCTGCACGCTGAGCAAGGGTGCAGATGCGCGATCACTGTGAGACTGTAAGGAAGCCTTGCAGCCAGGGGAGTCCCCCACTCCCATTTTTTCCTGACTATACAAGGACTCCATGGGAGAAACCCATGAATGGCTCCCCTGCTTCCCCTGCCCTATTGGGTACCAGCTGCAGGACACCTCAGAAGTTTGTGGGAAAATGGAAATAGAAGACAATGCAAGTTTCATTTTGTTGTGATTTCCCTGGAACTTTTAGAAGTACTCCTGTTTTCCTAATGAACTGAAGGAGACTGAGGAGTCAGGGAGGGCCAAGGAGCCCCTGCATCCACTTAGGTCACCCCAGTTAGCATAAAGAACAGAATTGCTCAACCATGTTAATACTGTTTATGGTGAACCCCAAGTCGCACACCTTGGGAGCTGGATGGGAGCTGGGACCTGGTGGGCAAGGGGGCTTTTTCCTTGGGGACCAGGAGCCTGTGACTGGGGCTTTACTGCAGCCTCCTCCCTCACCCCCAACTAGAGGCCCCAGAAGCCAGATGGGGAGACTGCCCCCTCGGTGCCTTCCTTGTCCCTGAGGGAACACTGCCCACTGCTGGGAGTCGCACGGATCCCTGGCCGAAACAGCCTCCACGGCCTCTGCTGCCGCCACGCTCCTCGGCTGCAGGTCCACTCCCAGTCCACTCCAGGTCTCATTCCCACTCCCCCTTCACTGCTGCAGCAGGCCATC